TTAACAACTGCAAGTGAATCTACAATTATTTCAAAAATAAAAAGTTTAAAGAAATATATTTTTACTTCCCACTCCCCAAACAGTAAGGTCTTCTGAATGATCTGCCTGCTTCTACTTGAACTCCTACTGTCCGCTCTCCACACAGCAGCCAGAGTCGCCCTGTAAAAACTTCAGTTCAATGATGTTACTCCTTCAGCTTAAAACCCTCTGGGCGCTCTCCTCTTCTCTCAAAAGTGAAATTCAAAGTCTTTGTAATAGCCTACAAGATCCTACATGATCTGGAACCTCAATCTCATCTCCTACTAAACTCCCAAACTACTCTGTCCCTGCTGCCTACTTAACAGATACCAATAAATGTTTACTGAATATGCTCTTGACCCGATTCTCACCACAAACCCTACACCACTTCCCAAGTAGCATCTTTGCACCTATCACACCCTCTGAAAAGCCTTTTCCATAGTTTTCAGCCAGGCAAAACCCCACTCATTCTTCTAAGGGTATCTCCAATGTCACCCCATTTGTTGTTATAACTCCAATACCTAGCACCAAGTAGGAGCAAAATTAATCAGTATTGTGCAAGGTGTAAAAACTTGGACCTCCTGGGCCTCCACTCCTTCAAATCAGAGAATTTGATCTAGTCAGAAATGAAGAGTATTCAGAACAAAGTGACTTTGACTTTATGGATTTAATTGTTGAGCTTCTACAACCAGATATATTACTTTAGACTTCTAAATGTTCCATTTTTACCCTTTTCTATTTGATATTTCCACTCTAGTTAAAACAACATTTTAAAAATAACATTCTACATTTAATTCTCTTCTACTGGTCCCTTTAAAAAACTGTCTTAAAATCGACTACATCGATATTTCTTAAACAAGAATGCAGAGGACCCTAGAATTCATTCACACTGGATTGGGACACATGGCCTCAAAAATTAAACGCACTACACATTAAATTTAGGTGATCATTTGGGAGCAATTTAATGACAAACATAGAAAGTAGGCACTTTTGAAATGACATGGCAAGACTTAATCATAAGGTGATCATCCAGTGATCCAAAATAATGCTTATATTATTTTTTATTCTGTCAAAATAAAAATTTAAAATCCTTACAGATTTCCAAGAATACACCCAAGTACTGAAATTTTAAGAAACTTAATATGGAACAAGTTTAAATAAATCTATTGTAGTAACTTTCTAACTTTCTATGCTTACTTGAAGTTTGGAGCTCAACACATCTTATCTAGACTGTTATTTTTTTATTAATAGAGTAATTACTTTGGGGCACCTGGGTGGCTCAGTCTGTTAGGCATCTGCCTTTGGCTCAGGTCATGATACTGGGGGTCCTGGGATGAGCCCCGTATCGGGCTCCCTGCTCAGCAGGGAGTCTGCTTCTCCCTTTCCCTCTGCTCCTCCCCCTGCTCGTGCTCTCTCAAAATAAATTTAAAGATAAAAAAAAATAAAAAAATAAAAGAGTAATTACTTTGAAATTACTCTACCATAAGGTATGCTTAAAAAAACACTTCTCTTGGGCGCCTGGGTGGCTCAGTTGGTTAAGCGACTGCCTTTAGCTCAGGTCATGATCCCAGGGTCCTGGGATCGAGTCCCGCTTCGGGCTCCCTGCTCAGCGGGAAGCCTGCTTCTCCCTCTCCCATTCCCCCTGCTTGTGTTCCCTCTCTCGCTGTGTCTCTCCCTGTCAAATAAATAAATAAAATCTTTAAAAAAAAAAAAAAAAACACTTCTCTTAAAGTTTTACAAATGCCATGCTGTACTGCAATGTAGCTGCTTCCCTCTTAAGAGCATACGTATTACATTTAAATTATTTTTAGAAGAGAATAATAAGAATTTTAAATTGACAGAAAGACTTAATTAAAAAAAAAGATTGGGACACCTGGGTAGCTCAGTCGGTTGAGCATCTGCCTTTGGCTCGGGTCATGATCCCAGGGTTCTGGGATCAAGTCCCGCATTGGGCTCCCTGCTCAGTGGGGAGTCTGCTTCTCCCTCTGCCTGCCACTCCCCCTACTTGTGCTCTCTCTCTCTCTCTGACAAATAAATAAATAAAATCTTAAAAAAATAAAATTAAAATAAAAATTAAAAATTAAAAAAAAAAAAAGATTATCTAAAATGTCCCAGTTTAGCTGGAGAACTATTTATGGCACTCTAATAAATAAAAAGACAAGAAGACACCTTAATACTCCACACTCCCCCCTCGCTTGCCCCTCCCTACAAAATTTTCAACCAGGGGAAAGGCTGTTTCTGAAATACAGTTACCAGCTATAGATCCCTCAAACTGTATGTCTTAAGCATTCCAGGAAGAAATATAAATGCTTAAATGTCAGGTTTTTTCTTAAATGATTAAATAACTAAACAATCATGCTACGTAAGCACTTTAGGAACAGAAATATCTGCATCAACCAGAAAAATCCTCGTTATAGTTTACTCATGATTAAAGGGCCTTGGGAAAATGAACCTCAGTCCTTCCCCACAGACTTACAAATGCTTCTGGGACGGTGGCTGCCCTACCCTCATTGCTGCTGAGGAAACCTAAGGAAGTAACCACAGCACTGTAACAGATGAATGTATGGCTAGACAGCCCCTGTCAGCAAATAAGAAAACACTATCCCATTCATACTGTTTTTCACTGAAAAGTCAAAAAAGATTTAAGGAGAAAAGCAGGACTGTGTCTTAGCCTAAAGAAAAAAAGGAATACTAAACAAAATACTGCTTAATCATTACAAATTCTTATTAATGGATTTGTTCCCCCTAAGTCTCAGGCCCTAGGTTACATATTTCTTTATTTCCTGATAAAGCCTTCAATATCTTCATTCATAATGTAACATTTCTAAGAAAAAAAATACTTAATCATGCAACATTATTTACAAGAGCCAAGATATGGAAACAACCTAAATGCCCATGGATGGATGAACAGATAAAAATGTGGTGTGTATATACAATGGAGTACTACTCAGCCACACACACACACAAAATGAAATATGGCATTTGTGACAACATGGATGGACCTTGAGGCATTATGCTAACTGAAATAAGTCAGACAGAGAAAGATAAATACCATATGATTTCACCTGTATGTGGAACAAAAAAAATCAAAACAAAACAAACAAGTCAAACTCACAGAGACGAGACGGGTGGTTGCCAGAGAAGAGGGAATTAGAGGTTGGTGAAATGGCAGAAAGGTATTAACTTCCTTGGGGCGCCTGGGTGGCTCAGTCATTAAACGACTGCCTTCGGCTGAGGTCATGGTCCCAGGGTCCTGGGATCGAGCCCCGAATCAGGCTCCCTGCTCAGCGGGAAGCCTGCTTCTCCCTCTCCCACTCCCCCTGCTTGTGTTCCCTCTCTCGCTGTATCTCTCTGTCAAATAAATAAAATCTTAAAAAAAAAAAAAAAAAAGGTACTAACTTCCAATTACAAAATAAGTCATAAGGAAGTAATAATATATAGTATGGTGACTATAGTCAGTAATATAGTAATGCATATTTGAAAGTTGCTAGGAGAGTAAACCTTAAAGGCTCTCATTACAAGAAAAAAAAATTTTGTAACTCTGTATTGTGATGAGTCCTAACTACACCCACCGTGGTGATCAGTTCCCAGTGTACACAAATAATCAAATCATTATATTGTACACCTGAATCTAACATGTTGTATGCCAATCATACCTCAATAAATAATAAAAAGAATTTTAATAACAATTTTTAAACGAAATAATCAAATCCTACAACTCCATTAAAATGAAGCGGTCTTGTCCGGCTAAGCCAGGACACAGGGAACCATGTTTACCAAGAATCTCCCTTGTCGCCTTCCTCCTCTCCTCGTCCCAAGCCCCTCGGGAGCCCAAAGCCTCAGTAATCTGGCTCTTTACCGAGCACCAGTACCCTAAGATAGCTTTCTCTCCTTCACTTTTTTTTTTTTAAACATTTTATTTATTTATTTGACAGAGAGAGACACAGCGAGAGAGGGAACACAAGCAGGGGGAGAGGGAGAGGGAGAAGCAGGCTCCCCGCAGAGCAGGGAGCCCGATGCGGGACTCGATCCCGGGACTCCAGGATCATGACCTGAGCCCAAGGCAGTCGCTCAACCAACTGAGCCACCCAGGCGCCCCTCCCCTTCACTTTCGCTCTCCAAAATACTCCATCAGCTTAGTCTGGTCAGTGCCCCTGCCCACCCTGATCTTTACTACTTCTCTCACCCGTTGGGAAACCGCCCACACTCCCTTGGTCCTACTAGACCCCTGGGTGCCTCCCCCACCTTGGGACCCTCTCTAGACCCCACACCTCCCAACCGCGGCCATCTCCTCACCGGTGATCTGGTCCCTCTGTCCCCTCACCACTCCCCCCTCCAAGCAATTTCGGAGACCCTACCACCGCCATTCCCTCTGGCAACCCATTCTTCAAGGCTCTCCAGACAACACCACCACTCCTCCCTCCACGCCCATCTACATACTCTGCTCCCTGGATGCCCGCATCTCTCCTCCCCGCTTCTCGGGCTTCTCAGAGACCCCACCTCCTTAGACTCCCGCAGACAGCCTACTGTCCGTCCTCGCCCCTAGAGACCCTGCCCTATCTACACACAGCCGTCTGCTCCGGACACTCGGAAGCGTCCTTTCCCTGGCCGGGCCTGTCTCCCCGCCCGTGCCCGGCCCTCCGCGTCTTCCCGCGCCCGCCCTGCCGCCGCGCCCCCTTTACCGCTGGACATGGTGGTGGGCGCAAGCAGGAGCGCCAGGACCAGCGGCCGCGCCAATACTTCGGGGACCTGAAGGCCCGGCGAAGGCCGCAGTTTCGCTTGCGCGGTTCCCCTCATCCTCCTCAAGGCTGCAGCGGCCATAACGGACTCCGCTAGGAGCCTGCGCTGTTGCTAGGCTCTACGTCATGACATCAGACACTGCGTAAGGCACCACAGCCTGAGGCTTCTGCGTCCCAACGTGATGACGTCGCAGCCTATCGTGAAGGGCTCAGGAAACCCGATAAGGAGGAAGGGTATGGAGCTGCAGAAGGGGGCAGGTCTCACCCAAGCCCCTCGCGGGCTGAGGCTGTAAAGTGTTTTGTTGTTTGGGGTTTTTTTTTTAAGATTTTATTTATTTATTTAATTGACACAGAGAGACAGAGCGGGAGAGGGAACACAAGCAGGGGGAGCAGCAGAGGCAGAGGGAGAAGCAGGCTCTCCGCTGAGCAGGGAGCCCGATGCGGGGCTCCATCCCAGGACGCTGGGATCATGACCTGAGCCGAAGGCAGTCGCTTAACAGACTGAGCCAGACTGAGCCACCCAGGCGCCCCGAGGCTGTAAAGTGTTAGATGAAGAGAGGGTCAGAGCGAGCCCCTCCCTTCCTGCCATGCGATGGGATACTATACAGTTCAGGAAAGTATTTTAAAACATTGGGGTTTTTCTGGGGCGCCTGGGTCGCTCAGTCCTTAAGTGTCTGCCTTCAGCTCAGGTCATGATCCCGAGGTCTGGGATTGAGACCCGCATCGGGCTCCCTGCTCGGCGGGAAGCCTGCTTCTCCCTTTCCCACTCCTGCTTGTGTTCCCGCTCTCGCTGTCTCTCTCTGTCAAATAAAATCTTAAAAAAAAAAAAAAAAAAAAAAAAATTGGGTTTTTATTTTTTAAAGACTTTATTTTTCAGTAATCTCTATACCTGAAGTGGGGCTCGAACTTACAACCTTGAGATCAAGAGTGGCATGCTTTATGGACTGAGCCAGCCAGGAGCCCCTAAAACATTGTTAAAAGAAAGGGGTGCCTGGATGGCTCTGTGGGTTAAGCAGCCAACTTTTTTTTTAATTCAATTAACATATAGTGTATTATTAGTTTTAGAGGCAGAGTTCAGTGATTCATTGGTCTTTTGTAACACCCAGTGCTCATTCCATCAGGTGCCCTCCTTAATGCTCATTACCCAGTTACCCCATCCCCCCCTTCCCCCTCCAGCAACCCTGTTTATGATTAAGAGTCTCTTATGGTTGGTCTCCCTCTCTGATTTCATTGTTTTATTGTTCCCTCCCTTCCCCTATGCTCCTCTGTTTTGTTTTTTATAGTCCACATATGAGTGAAATCATGTAATTGTCTTTCTCTGATTGACTTAATTTAAGCGGCCAACTTTTTGATTTTGGCTCAGATGGTGATCTCAGGGTGGTGAGATCCAGCCCCGCCTCCACCTCTGTGCTCAGGGGGGACTCTGCTTGGGATTCTCTCTCCCTCTGCCCCTCCTCCTGCTTTCTTTCTCTCAAATAAATTAACAGGCTGATCCCAAAAGGGAAGTAGCTGCCCTCCCTCTCCCAAAGGCAAATGAAACTCAACTGTTCACAGTGGCCATATCTAGATGGTGGAATTAAAGGTAAAAGTTTTACTTTTTATATTTCTCCTTATCATTTATTACTTCAACAACTATTTAGCACCTTTTCATATTTCAGTATACAGCAGTTAACAAAACGAACCACATACCTTTGTGGAGTTTATTTTGTGAGGAAGACAATAGTGTAAAATATACACTATACAATGGTTAAGGCGTAATGGAGAAAAAGCAGGAAAGTGGGATAGGAAGTAGGGTGCAAACAGCCTCCACATTTCCTACAGTAAGTTTCTGTTACTTTTTAAATTTTGTAACTTGAAACCCCCAGTATATGAAAATGCAGATTTAGAGCTCCCTTACAGCCTTGACACACGCTTTGGTCTGTGTGTTCTGCAAATGTTTTTTAAATGTCTGTAGGCTTAAAAATCATAGAAGTTCCACTTGATCGATTTGCAGGAAAATCATTGTGGCATGAAGCAAGACATTTGCTGTACCCATAGCTTCACCACTCTGATCTCCGTGATTCCTACAGAAGAATCCTCCAGAGACACAGCTGAACTGCCCTTCTAAGGGGAGAAGGGCCCCTGTTCTCTTGAATCTGGTTTCCCTTAACATTTATCTGGCCCCAGTGACAGCTCAGAAACACACAAACTCTGTGTTAAGAAAACTAAGAGGTCATTCATGTTGGCTTCTTTAAGCCCACCACAAGCCTAGATAGACTGAATGGTGCCCTTATTGCAAACCCTCCATGGTAGCCAGGATACAAAGTCTTCCCAAATTCCCTTGGAGCTTTCCCTTCTCTGAGTACACAAACCACCACTCAGTTTAATGAATAAGCCTCTCGATTCCAGCTTCTACTTGTTGGCAGATTCAGACATAGGCCTTTTTCTATAATAAACACACCTTCAATCTTCTCTTCTTTGTCCACTTTCTTCCTTTTGTCCCCATACCAGTGTGTTTTGGATATCTTACAGATATCATGAACTCAAGGAATTTTGCACAATATTCTGACATGCTGCATCCAACAGGCAGATTCTTAATATGTAAGTGGGGAGGGAAATATACCCTCAATATTCAGAGGGCCCTTTGTACATTTCAAAATACCAGCTCACTGGATGTACCCAACAACCATTATGAGCCAAAATCTCTGGACAAAGTCAGAAGTTCACTTTGAAACATATACAGATCCTCATGAACCCAATGAAGACAGTATGACAAATACTGAGGCCAGCAGGTTTTGGGTGGCACAAAATGGTTAAGTAAACCTGATACTTGTTTGGTATTCACTTCCAAACATCCATAAAAAGGAACTCTGCCTAAAAATATGTATTATTGAATAGGAAAAAATGTTCACATTTACTGAAGCTGGCTTACCCTTCTACTTTGTAAATGTTTGAAATTTACACCTTGTCATTTTTTTAAAATCTAAATTGCAGAATTCTACAACATACCCCAATGATCCATGCCTTTGTATGATCCCCTGCCCTTGAGTGTGAGAGGGACCTCTGAATATGATGGGATATCATTACTGTGATTAGGTTATTAAAGGGCACAGTAGACTTTAAGGGGAGATTTTCCTCAGAGGCCTCACCTAATCAGGTGAGCCCTTAAAGGGTTGGGGCAGTTATAAAATGAGTAAGTCCTGGGGATGTCATGTACAGCATGGTGACTATAGTTAATAATTTAATAATACTGTATTGTATATTTGGAAGTTGCTAAGAGAGTAGATCTTAGAAGTTCTTATCACAAGGGGAAAAACTTTGTGTGGTGACAGACGTTAACTAGATGTATTGCAGTGATTATTTTGCAATATATACAAATACTGAATCATTATGCTGTACACCTGAAACTAGTATGTTCTATGTCAATTATACCTCAATAAACAAAAAATAGGGGCACCTGGCTGGCTCAGTCAGTCAAGTGTCCAACTCTTGATTGTGGCTCAGGGTCATGGGATCAAGCCTTGTGTTGGGCTCCACGCTGAGTCTCCTCCCCCCGCACATGCGAGTGCACACGCGCTCTCTCCCTCAAATAACTAAAATCTTTCTTAAATAAATGAATAAATACATAATAAAGTTTTTAAAAGGGTAAGTTGTGGCTGGCACTCTTCCTAGAGATTTCAAGTGTGAGAGGGATTTGACAGTAAGGGAATTCTTCCATTCCAGCTTTGAAGATGGGAAGGGACCATGTGGCAAGGAATGCACTGGCCTCTATTTGCTGAGAGGACGCCCTACCTGATGGCTAGCAAGGAAATAAGGACCATTATCCTACAACAACTAAAAGGAGTTGACTTCTGCCACAATCATGTGAGCCTGGAAGAGGACTGAGCCTGGAAGAGGACCCCAAGCTCCAGACAAGAACACAGTCTGGCAGACATCCTTATTTCAGCATCATGAGAATCTTAACAGAGAACTCAGTCACACCGTGCTGGATTTCTGAACTACAGGCCTGTGAAATAAATGAGTGTTGTTTTAAGCAACTCAATTTGGCTAATTTGTTATGCAACAATAGAAAACTAAAAATCTCTCTCTCACACACACAGTGCAAACACAAATGCCAAATGCCCTGTTTACTTACACTTTTATTAATAAAGACAACAGAAGAATGAGGTTTCAATATTTATTCAAGTTTTACTTTAAGTGATGTTAATTACAGCATTTGAAGGGGAGGATCTAATTCCACACAAAATGGAAGACTCTAAAATGTACCCATTAAATGGCTAAAAAATAAACCAAGTGGCGAGAATAGAACAAGTCCAATTTAGATTCCGAGTGTTGTCACAATGTGATTACAGTCACAGAGACTCTTCCCAGATCAGAGATGGGACTTTTAGAAGCTATTTCATACTCTGGTGCAGGGGCAGAAAACCACAACATGAGAGGGAATTAAGTCCTGAATTATTGGCTTCATCACATCCATCTTCCCAAAATGGCACAAAAGAAACAGCTACCACACCCTGCAGACTACTTTTGGTGTAAAAGAGGTGATGGACTGGGGTGAAACAGGTGAGGAAAATCTGTCTAAAAAAGTCTCTTTCAGATGGGTTTATACACACCATCAGTGAGTCTCTCCTTTGGGTAGGAAACCCAGTTCAATTCTCAGGAAGTCATAATTTCATTCATGTACTCCATACCAATGAACAAAGTGCCTATAAATTATCAGCTTCCATTTGCAGCCATTTCTAGATAAAAAAGAAACCTGAACTCTCTGGAGGGGCCACCAAGCTCCCCCCAAGTCTACAGCTGAAAGGACTTTTCACGGACTTGGGTTTCTTCTGTACCTCTGAAAGGGTAACACCTTAAAGCTGAATCATCTTTAACCTGGAGGTCTAACATGATACTTAGCAATACTTGCATCCCAGACATACAACATTAAAAGGTACACTAAATTCTGAAGGTAGCTATGCTCAAAATAGTTTAAAATTAAACGACTATACAGTATTCATTTATGCCTGAAATTCCAGTCCTAGACCAAGCTTGTGGCCGCCAGCATTGACATTCTTGCCATCCAGCAGAGCTGATAGGGTCAGCTTGATACCTGCAGGGGGCAAAGTCCCGGGGAGAGGAAAAAGGGAGGGGAGGGAGGGAGGAGAGAAAAGATAAGAAAGGTCAACACAAGAAGAACGGTTAACACACGGAGGCATGCTAAAGCACATTGGCAAGACCACAGCGAAGTCAGAACCCGCTTCAGCTGTGTGTGATCAGCAAGGCAAAACCACACGGCCCATCTTACTGATCACCATCGGACTAATTAATTGGTAGCCTGGAATGAGCTTATAAAACAGTAATTATTATTCCACAGCCTCCCCAAATCCACTTTCAGGAGTCCACTTGACTTTGTCCTCTCATTGTCGCCGGCTACAATAATCTCTCTACCACTGGTATCAGGCAGTAAACTTCTTCAGCAAAAATGCCTTGAAATGAAACCCAACCATGAATCAGACTCCAAGGTCTCCCAATCAGCGTGCACACAAACACACATACATGCACACAACTAATTGGTATTTACCCTACAACAGCCTGATTCTACCATCATGTAATCTTAGAATTTCTAGAGCTCAAAGACCCAATTTGACCAAACTAAACCCAAGATGGTACCATCTCCATAGCTCTAACATACCAGGGGCTGGTCTAGCCAACTGTGCAGAGGAAACCTGCACAACAGTTGTACAGTGAGGATGATCTATGTGCTAGTTTTAAGAACCTGCTGGAAATAAGTATCAAGCATTATGTACACACTGGAAAAACAGATAAAAAAAAAAAATAACCAAAAGTGTAATGTATGTTAGCCTTCGCCTTTTTCTCTCCGACTTACTACTTCTATTCTCCAAATGTTTTATAATGACTCTATACCCTTTTATAAACACTTCATTATAAAACTTTATATACGCTCATCTATAATGTACAATACAGGCATTATATAAGCACTTAACATAAAGCAGCAAACCAGCACCCCAATTTTTCTTTAAGGCAAAGAACTAATTTCACTAATTTATAAAAGCAACACATACCTGGCTTTAGGGTCTGAGTGTATCCTAAACCTATCAGGCTGGAGTTGTTCACTTTAGCCTAGTCAAGGAAAAGATAAGAGAGAGTGAAATTGTTAAGTACTTCATGTTTCCATCTCTAAAACAAGTAAGAGCTTTGTAATCAACCAACCCTGGACTTCAGGATCAAATTCTTTTTCATGACCACTTTGTTTATGGGATTCATTAAATTTAACATGAAATATATCAAATCTGAGAGCTAAGTCTCAGAAAAGAAACTCAAAGAGTCAACACAACTGTCAATTAAAAGGAAATTATTATTTAATTGATTCCTGAAGGTATGAATGCCCAATTTCATTTATACTGATTAGGTCTGTATTTAAGTTTTAACAGGTGAAGACACTTTCATTTGTGGCCAGAGAAATAAAAGCCTTTCTTATATGGAAGATTTCTTCAAAATCTATTTGTTAGGTTAAGGGAAACAGAGCCAATGTCAGATGGAGTATTGAGGCTTTTTTTAAGGCATAACACTGTTAGAATTTTCCCTTCATAGGGGCGCCTGGGTGGCTCAGTTAACCGTCTGCCTTCGGCTCAGGTCATGATCTCGGGGTCCTGGGATGGAGTCCTGCATCAAGCTCCCTGCTCAGTAAGGGAGTCTGCTTCTCCCTCTGACCCTGCTTGTGTGCGCTCTCTCTTGCTCTCTCCCGCTCTCTTTCTCAAATAAATAAAATCTTTAAAAAAAAAAAAAAGAATTTTCCCTTCATGAAAAAGGGAAAAATCACAGTAACGGGGCGCCTGGGTGGCTCAGTTGGGTAAGCGGCTGCCTTTGGCTCAAGTCATGATCCCAGGGTCCTGGGATCGAGCCCTGCATCGGGCTCCCTGCTCAGCAGAGAGCCTGCTTCTCCCTCTCCCTCTGCTGCTCTCCCTGCTTGTGCTGTCAAATAAATAAATATTTAAAAAAAAATTCACAGTGACATGAAGAAGATTCAGCATTGCCATGCCTGAATTTAAAATGTGTAGTAGAGCAAAAGAATGACTTAGCCAAGTCACCTAAATTTCAGCAGTGAATGCTGATTAATAATTAAGTTCAGGGGTGCCTGGGTGGCTCAGTCAGTTAAGGGTCTGCCTTCGGCTCAGGTCATGGTCCCAGGGTCCTGGCATCGAGCCCAGCAACAGGCTCCCTGCTCAGCAGGGAGTCTGCTTCTCCCTCTCCCCCTGCTTGTGCTCTCTCTCTCTCAAATAAATAAATAAAATTAAAAAAATAATTAAGTTCAATAAAGCAGTTGAGGCAATAATAATTTTGCCCTCATTCTTCTGTCTGAGTTGTAGGGAAATCCGGGCCTCTCTCTGGCCCCTTTCTGGTGAAATAAGGAGAGGTCAGGAGCAGAGCCATCTCAAGCCATGAGAACACCAAGTCCTGGAAAGCTGAGGCTACCGCGGTGCATGTTTTCCTGCTTGAATGCTGTTTTCAGACCTGACAACTCCCATGAGAAAGAACAAAGCAATGGGTAGGAAGATCTCCCGGCAGACAGTGCCCTATCTGGCTCTTCCTTTTTGCTTATCCCATCTAATTACTAAGGCCCCTTTTCCTTTGTTTCTAAGTGCTTAATGTGAAAGGAGCCATATTCGATGCCATTTCAGACTTCAAATGGCCTGTTTCTAAATTACGTAAGGACCGTCCTGCAACACGAGATTTCCTCATTCCACCCCAAAAGGGATGCAGCTAGCAGTGCCCTCTGACAACAGAGATGAATTCAACAGGATTTAATGCAAAAATCGTGCAGCAATTCAAAGGTCCGTGAGCAATGCCACTGAGTCTGCAAGATTAGATGCCAACTGCTAAATGCCAGGGCCTGGTTTCTTAATATCCAATACAGGAGCTGGGCAAGAGAATGAGAAATGAGAAGAAAAATGAACATTTAAAACCTTCAATTTCAAAGTAAACCTCTTTACAGTCTGCAGAAGGAACAAGGGCTGATTAGAGGAGGAGGCTCCCCAGCAAACCATCAAGTCCAGGCCCCAGCACTTACCAACTGTCTGCCCCATCTGCCCTCGACCTCCCTGAATTTCCAGTTCCTCATTTGTGCACAGAGGGTTGGGATGGTTTTTTTTTTTTTTTTTTTTTTTTGAAAAGGCACCTACCTCAAATGGACTGTGTAAGAATTAAATACAGTAACCCACATATAACAGGCTGCACACAGCGCCTGGCACCCACAGTCAGCGGTATTACTATTAGCACTTTCCTCATTTCAAACTCTTTCCACAGGGAGAAAATCTCTAGCCCAAGCATGCAACCCCAGCAATCCAGAAGGATTCCAACCCCACCATCAGGTGGAGCCTCGGCAACATGTGATTCCATAGGTACTCACCGAGAAGCAGGCATCAGGGTCGATCTGATACTTGGCTGCTATTCCAAAGCGAGTGTTACTATTTCCTGCTGTCCAGGCCAGATTGACAGCGGTCTCTAACTTCTTGTTCACCTTCTGATAAATGGAGCCACCAAATTCTGTCCCATCGTTTCTGCAAACAAGCACAGCACAGATGCTAATCCACCCCCAAAGGCAGGCTGCAGCTGGGCACAGCTGTCCAAGTCTAACAGAGGACAGGGATGCTGTAAATGAACCAAAGTGATCATAAAGCAGGTACCCAAGTAGGGAAAAGTCTGACAGGAATGGAACAGACACCAGCGTTGGGAAGGTTCAGAGAAAGGGAAAGGCTATTTGAACCATCACCAGCAACACCCAAAGGCAGGAAGCTCAGGCTGCATGGAATTTGAAGCTTGCTTCCAAAATATTCTTTAAAATAAAAGCAACGGGGCACCTGGGTGTCTCAGTCAGAGGGGCGTCCAACTCTTGATTTCAATTTAGGGCATGATCTCAGGGTCGTGGGATGGAGCCCCAAGTTGGGCTCCCCTGCTCATAAGGAGTCTGCGTGGGATTCTCTCCCTCTGCCCCTCCCCTGTTCGTACTTTAAATAAATAGATAGATAGATAGATAGATAGATAGATAGATAGATAGATAGATAGATAGATAGATAGATGATAGATAGATAGATAGACAAATAAATAAAAGCAAGTAAGACCTTGAGATTCTCGGGGTTTTTTTCGTTTTTTTGCTGCTGCTACTGCTAATGTTATTACTTTTATAAATGTGTCTATCATAACAATAGTAAGGACACAGAAGCAAATGAGAAGAGAATACAGTCAGAAATGGTAAGAAAGGTTGAGCCACTCGTATTTTTCAGAAGGCAGGTAATAGCCCTTAGCACCACCAGCTGCAGCCACTGCTGTGAAGACACAGTCAAAAGCGACCTGGCCCCGTGGAGGTGCAGTGATGACAAAAGAGCTTAACCTGCAATTCAGACTTGTCCACCTGTGCGAAACCCTTGGCCCGAACTGCCAATATCTCTACAGTTCTGATGCAATGAAAGGAGCTACTTGGTGCATTACAAAATGTCTCTTTCAAAAACAGAATGAAACCCAACTGGGACAAACTCGTTCCTCTCTTCCAAACACACCATATTGACTCCAGCCTCTGGAAATATCCCCTTCCCCTCCTTCACATTCTTAACATGAAACAGTGGCAAAGTTCTGCCTCATCACTTTGGGTGTTTCAAGTAGAAATGTCATCAGAAACTGGTTAAGGCAGAGCCATGTGCTTTGGAATTCAGCAAAGAGCTTAGAACTCACTAATCCAAGGACAAATTGTTGCTGACTCATTACAAACTCCGATCCTCACCAATACACTCTCCCTGAAGTAGATGCTCTATATAAATACATTCTAAATGCTGAAGTTTTCCCCTGAAATTCAACCATATAGACATTGTGCTTCCAATAAGTACAGGTTGAGCCCAGGCAACCCGATTCACAGGGAATCCTAACTTCTTCAGAAAATCTGAGTACACTACAAAATAGCAGCTTGTCACAAAAGATTTTTGAGTGACTTTAGTATAAATGAAATACGAATATTTTGTTGGGTTCACATGTTTGTCCAAAAAGTGTCAGTTTTTTTCAATATATTCTAAAACCAGCAACACTGCCTTCCTGTACTGAGCTCTCAAAACTATAAACCAAGGGAAGTCACTGCTCAAATTCAACTATATGAAGCACAAAGGATGTCTATTACACATCAGGGCCTCCACAAGCACCAGGGCAACCCAGATTAGCTGTGTCAGCTGTTTCTATGCCAGCTAAAAATAAACCATGTACACGTATTAAAAATCAGGTATGTGGGGAAAACAGCTAACAGCCATTGTTATTCCTATAATTGGTGCCAATTTCCAATTCCAAACCAAGAAAGACTTTCCATTTCAGTCAAAACTCTAATTTAAAAAACCCTTCTATTGATTGTGCTGTTTTTCCTGTGACATTTTTATATGTTACCTTTTTTTGAATTTATGTATCTTTTTCTTTTTACTCTTTTGGTGTACATTTCTATGGATTTTAACATATGTACAAGATTTGTGTGACCACCACTAAAATCAGAATACAGAACAATTCCACCACCCCCAAATCTCATACCACCCCTTTGTAGTCACACATTCCCACTCCCAACCCAGGGAAACCCTGGACTGTCCCTCACTATGGTTTTCCTGTGATTTTCTAGTTTTAAAAATTTCAAAAATTATATTAATATCTATTATATTAATTCCGTTATGTTAATTATATTAATTACAGTAGTCCTCCCTTATCTGCAGGAGATATGTTCCAAGACCCCCAGGGGATGCCTTAAACCACAGATAGTACCGAATCCCTATATATACTATGTTTTCTCCTATACATACATCCTTGTGACAAATTTTATAAATTAGACACAGTAAGAAATAAACAACAGTAACTTCTAATTTATTATTTTAATAAAATAGAACAATTAAAACAATATACTGTAATAGAAGATATATGAATGTGGTCTCTCTGTCTCTCAAAATATCTTCTTATACTGTATATACCCTTTTTGGTTTTGTTTTGTTGCTTTTTTGTGGGGGGGGTGCGGGCAGAGGGAGAGAAAGAATCTTTTTTTTTTTTTTAAGATTTTATTTATTTATTTGACAGAGAGAGAGAGAAGGAACACAAGCAGGGGGAGTGGGAGAGGGAGAAGCAGGCTTCCCGCAGAGCAGGGAGCCCAATGTGGGGCTCGATCCCAGGATGCTGGGATTATGACCTGAGTTGAAGGCAGACGCCCAATGACTGAGCCACCCAGGCGACCTGAGAGAAAGAATCTTAAGCAGGCTCCACACCCAGCACAGAGCCCTACATTCACTCAATCTCACGACCCTGAGATCATGACCTGAGTTGAAATCAAGAGTCAGATGCCTAACAGTCTGAGCCACCCAGGCGCCCCCGTATACAACCTTCTTGGGATGATGTGAGATGACCAAATGCCTACATGATGGGATGAAGGTGAGGTGAATGACAGAGACATGACACAGCGCCAGGCTACTACTGACCTTCTGACAATACATCAGAAGGAGGATCATCTACTTCCAGACTGTGGTTGACTGTGGAACTGTCAACTGACATCGTGGAAAGTGAAATGGCAGATACGGGGGAACTACCAGATAAAAATTCCTCAAAAAAGTTTGTAAATGGAAAGGTTACTAGATCTTTAAGAAATCACCTCTTTAGTGACCTCTAGTGGAAAAAAAGAAAATTGGTAAAGTTGTCCCCCACTAGTGCCACAGATTAGTTCCTCACGCCTACGGGAATTTTAGGCTGATGTGCATTTCCATTCGCATAAATCAACAGCACTCCACTTGAACTCCCAAGGTTGATTTACAAGGGGCTCTCTAACCTAATCTGCATTTTTCTCTCCCCTTCACTGTCCTGTCCAGTAATTAATAAACTTTTGCGTGCTATGCCATGTGGAAAAGACACTATGCAACTGAGCTCATCATTCCCTAACTTGTCTCTCAAATCTGCATTTCATTAAGCGCAGCAACCTGACCTCAGGCATCACACAGAGAAAGACAGCAGCACCTTTCCCCGCCATTTTGTTACCAAAACCCAAAGGTGTTCAAATGTCCACAAGAGGACACTAGCAGGGAAGGGACACTCCTCTGGACGGACATCATGCCACTGCTGTAACTGATCAGTCCTTCCATATGTACCAGCGACAACAATGACTGTTTCTGGAACACAAAGAACCTAAGCCACTTCCGGAAATGGGCTGGTGGGAAACAGAAAAATCCCCGCAGGCCATTTGGTTCATCTGATTCCAGCACACTCACTTTAAAGTGATTAAAAATTGAGCTTGGAAAGCAATCTCCCTTCTGCACACACTCACACACCACCCCCACGTACACTTACACGTTAGTGTGGAGCTGGAATTCGTCAGTCTTGTAGCCAACCGCAAAGTTGCTCTGGGTCACTCGAGACTTTGCAGTCTCAAAATTCATCTGGTAGCCAGCCAGCCAGCCTTCATATCCCAGCACCACAGCACCCCGGACTGAAGGACCGGCAATGTCGAAATCCACGTCACAGCCCAGGTTGATGTGCTCCCGCTTATACCCGGTCTTGATTTTAGCATTTTTTTTCCTGAAGGAAAAGAAATTGTATTAAGATCACAAGCTAACTCACCTTGCAACAACCATGCCAAGGAGTGTAAAAAAAATTTGTTTTAAATTCCAGTTTACATGGAGGGATGGGGGACAAAGTCGGGCCCCAGATCTCCCTTATGCAGCTGCTGTACCACTAGCTCTCTAACCAGAATCCAGTCTGCAGAAATGCCACAACAATGAAGTGAGAACAGAGGCAGGAAAAGCTTGGGGAAAAAAAGCGCTAAGTAATTTTCTTTTACTAACCTCTCCCTATGCTTAATGTAATGGCCTACACAGGCATTTATTAGGGAGAATGCCACCATGTAATTATGAAACAGATGTTTCTTCGCTATTCTCCATGTATGAAAAAGATATAGTGTATCTGGGGCGCCTGGGTGGCTCAGTCGTTAAGCGTCTGCCTTCGGCTCAGGTCATGATCCCAGGGTCCTGGGATCGAGTCCCACATTGGGCTCCCTGCTCGGCAGGAAGCCTGCTTCTCGCTCTCCCACTCCCCCTGCTTGTGTTCCTGCTCTCTCTCTGTGTCAAATAAATAAATAAAATCTTCAAAAAAAAAAAAAAAGATATAGTGTATCTGTCATGAAGGTGGCTAAAGAGCAGCTTTTTTTTTTTTTTTTTTAAGATTTTATTTTATTTATTTGACAGAGACAGCGAGAGAGGGAATACAAGCAGGGGGAGTGGGAGAAGGAGAAGCAGGCTTCTGCAGAGCAGGGAGTCCAATGCGGGGCTCAATCCCAGGACCCTGGGATCATGACCTGAGCCGAAGGCAGTCGCTTAATGACTAAGCCACCCAGGCGCCCCAACAGCAGCTTTTAAGGAGATGGTTGCTTTACTTGGTGACTCACTTAGTTAGTAAAGAAAGAAAGAAATACTAGATAGATCCCGTCTAAGTAAATATAACAGATAGCTTTTAATTCAGTATTCATGAGATCCCAGTGAGAGACCTGGATACTGATGTGCAACCTGGGGCCCTGCAGGCATGGGGGCTGGGAAGCCCTGCGAGACAGAACAAGTCCGCAGGTCTTGTCTGCTAATCCCAAATTTGCATATATGACCAGATCAGTGCCTCCTGTGCCTACTGCTCAGGAAAGGTAGGTGAGTCATGTCCCCTGCAAATATATTACCCTGCCTTTACCAAAGGTCAACACGGGAAACAAGACCACGCCTATCAAATAAAATTTAGACTCTTTTATGTTATTCAGCTACAAAATGGACATCCTCCCATAGCAAGGTGCATTCTCAGCAGCGATTGGGATCTACACAGCCTTGTCCATCCCAATCTCATTCACACTGAGATTAAAGCTTCATCCCCAGCACCCAGACTCTGGACTCTAAATACCATTCTCTCCTAAAAGGCACAGTGCCCCTTGAAGAACAGCAGACTACAGGTCAGGACAGGAAATGTGCGAGGTGAGCTTGAAGCATTGATCAAAACTATCAAAGAATACTGGGGTTGGCGCACAATGACTTGAGAGCTAGCCTGAAGAGATTCCTAAGGGCTTCAAACATGAAACAATGAGTTCATCTTTAAGAATAACACCAGCAATGGATTGAAACATAACAAATATGTATAAATCTATGAATTCATTCATACTGACACTTAAAACACACACATCAGTCATCTTCAGAGACTAGAGAACCAAAGTGTTACTTTGAAACAATAAATTAAAAAGGAAGCAAACATTTATTCCACCTTTCCTACACTAACTCTATCTCAAGGTAACCAACAGTTTATGAGAAGTCTCTTTTTATTGAAATATTCTAGCTAATACATGAAGAATGAATGATTAAAGTAGAATTATCACCAATTTATAATCCCTAATGAATGAATTGTGAAGAGCACTAACTTTAACATACAAAGAACAAACCAAGCCTTCTACGTCCAAGTCATGGAAGCATAGAGCTCCACTTATATTTTACCACTACTTTACCAATTCACAGTAAACATGGGGGACAGAGGAACAAGTTAAATGGCACCACAGAGATGCAAACAGCAAAATTTAGTCTATATGTACTCTTACGGGACAAATGATCTAGTTTCAACAAATAAATCCCAAGGGGAGTGGGGAAAGGAGGAGAATCTAAAAATTAAAGAGATTTAAGGAGCCATATGAACTGCAATTCTGCATGGACAATTTTTGATTCTGTAAAAAAAAAAATGAAATCATGTAAATTTGATCAGGCTAGAGATTAATTTTTTACAATGTAATCATATTGTGGTTATACTTTTTTAAAAAGGAATCAATATTGTGCTTGCTTCAGCAGCCCATATGTTAAAATTGAAATGATACAGAGAAGATGAGCATGGCCCCTGCACAAAGATGACATACAAATACGTGAAGCGTTCCATTATCTTTAACTCTAGGGACAAACTGATGGTTATCAGAAGGGAGGGGGGAAAGGGATAGGAGGGCACTTGTCATGATGAGCACCAGGTAATGTATGGAATTGTTGAATCACTATATTGTACACCTGAAACTAATATTAAGACTATATGTTAACTAATTGGAATTAAAATAAAAACTTAAAAATAAAAGAATCCTATCACTTAAAGATGCATATTAAAATATTTACAGATGAAATTATGTGATAACTGTTATTTACTTCAAAATAATCTGATTATGAATGTATAAATAAAACATAATTGGTTATGGGTTGATAATTATTCAAGCTGGGTGATAGGAACATGATGAGGGCTTAACATACTATTCTGCTTTTTTTTTTTTAACTGTTTTCTTTTGTATGTTTGAAATTTTCTATATTAAAAAATTTAAGGTTAAACATTCCAAGTCAATGACAGAATTTCAGACATCATAGCTGAAAATAAAGCAAACACCATTCATAAATGACAGCGACACTTGCAACTTTTGTTCAAGTTGCTTTGCTGCATTTTCTCAAACTTTGAAGGAAAGGAGTAAGAACCAAACAAATTCTCTCTCAACAGGAAAAACTCAAAATAAACCTATTCTGATCTGCCTGCTCTTTGGAGGAAGAAGCCTAGGTTTTGGCTTATCCAATTGGCACCATGCTAGTGGGGTGATTGATGAAAGACAGCTGCTCAGAGGCTGACATTTAGAAAGAGAAGGAGACCAAGAACTATAAAAACCAGACATCTTATAACCACCAGGTAAAAAGCTGCTGCCAACCACAAAGTGTGCTGCCTGTGGCAGGACCTCTGAACAGTGGTGAGCACCAGCCACACCTGACCATTTACACAGTGCCTCCCTTACACTGTTCTCAATGAATTCTGGCAGGAGCACAAAGTCCCCAGAGAATGGACAGTGCTGGGGCAGTGACTCAGGTTTCTCTCCAGGTTCCTACTCCCATGTAACACTCCACACCTTTGGAGTTTTCCCTCTTTCAAATATTATTGGGACTTTTTTTTTTTTTTTTTTTAAGCTATTTCATGGTGCTAACTTGACAAGCACCTGAGCAAGGCATGACTCTGATTTCTGGTTAACAAGCTGGCTTTTTTCTGTGGTGGGTACCCAGAGTGGGTGCTGGTCCGTAGATATCTGAGTCTGCAGCCTCATCCAAAATGTGGTCTATGCTCAGCTCCTTATAGAAGCCAGGATGCTTTCCCAGGCTATCCCCCTTAGTAGCTTTGGAAAGCCAGCTTTCATTTCCAATCTTCATCAAGTCATCCAAAACCTGCCTCAAATGCTCAGGAGCAATATGGATACAACCTTGGTTTCTAAACACCATTCTTGGGGCACCTGGGTGGCTCAGTCGTTAAGCGTCTGCCTTCGGCTAAGGTCATGATCCCAGTGTCCTGGGATTGAGTCCCGCATCGGGCTCCCTGCTCTGTGGGAAGCCTGCTTCTCCCTCTCCCACTCCCCCTGCTTGTGTTCCCTCTCTCGCTGTCTCTCTCTCTGTCAAATAAATAAATAAAATCTTAAAAATAAAAAAATAAATAAACACCATTCTTCAATAAAAGGAACTGAAGCTCCTTGGAGAAATGCCTGATAGCAGGACTAGGGAAGAACAAGCAGAAGATAAGCCTGGTACATCTTCTGAAGTAGAGCTCAAAAGAAATGATAGGGGATTCTAAAAAAAAACACAGGATGTCAACTTAGGCATGCCCAATGGCCATATCTAAAACAAGTGAGTATAAAATATATTATGGTAATGGATTATAACCCACAGAATAAAACAAATGTTGATGGATCCATACTGATATAAATAATTGATTAAATAAATAAATGGAGAAGAAAGAGCTCTCCCTTACAGTAGAATCCCAATTAATAAATGCAGAAGGAATGATGGGAAGAGAAAATCACCATCTGCCAAACAATTATTGCAGGCAAGAATCACCAGTGGATACTAACTTAGTCAAAGGATAAGAAACAGAATATTTGCATAGTCTCAATGTATCTCCCAAGATAAACTTATTTACAAAGAGAAAAATAGCTTCATAGAGAAACCTCGCAAACACCACTTTAATCAAGTGATCAGTTACCGTCACTACTAACGAGGCATACTGACATCCATGCCCTGACATCACGCACCAAGAAAGACACGACACAACATCACTTCTGTGGCTGTGAAAAATGCATAACCTGAGTTTCACCATGAGGAAACATCAGACAAATCCAAATCGAAGGATTCTACAAAATAACTGGCCAATCCTCTTTAACACTGTCAAGGTCAAGAAAGACCAAGAAAGACAAAGAAAGGCTATGTCCCAGATTAGAGGAGACAAAAGAGATTTTAACAATTAAATGTGATCTAGTATCCTGAACTGGATCATGGACCAGAAATAAGACATCAGTAGGAGAACAGACTAGTTAACTGTATGGAAGCCATATAAATTTCCTGGTTCTGATCATTATACTGTAGTCATGTAAGACGTTAACATGAGGAGAAGTTAGGTCTAGGAAATAAGGGAACTCTACACACTACTTGCGCAACATTTTTATGTATGTTAAGTATAAAATTATTTCAAAATAAAAAGTTAAATTAAAAAAATGTTCCTCTTATGTATATTACTGTAGGACCTGGAGACTTCTCTGCAAACCTCCCAAACATAATGGGAAATCCCTTACAAATTCCAAAGTGTGCCATCTCAGGGCAGCAGGCAAAATCCTAGGCAGCAAATTTAAGCATGTGAGCACATCCTCCTGCCTCGCATGGTATCAGAGGGTCTCTATGGGTAACCTCTCCCATCACAGCAGGGTGCCTGGAGGGAAGTAGGCGAGGAAGAATGCAATGCTCCTGCAGGAGAAACTACAGCAGAAATGAGAACAAGAGTAAATCCAACTCCTGCCCAATGGTCTTCACGGCATCCGTAACAAAGTTACAAAAAGACTATAACCTCCAGAGACAGAAGCCCTGTCTGCCCAGTCCCTTGTAGTTACCCACATGCAGTAGAGGCTCTGAACTCAGTAGACCCTTCCTCTGAAAGATATTTGTCAGAAGGGAAGAAAAGAAATAATATGGAATGGCAAAAGATGAAATTCATAAGGCCACTAAATGTACACTTAAAGACTGCTGAGATGGTAAATTTTATGTGTGTATTTTACAATTTTTAAAAACTAACAAATGAAATTCAGTATATGCCCCTGAGCCTGTCAGCAGTATGCAAAACAACCTTCCCCATGTTTAAGAAACCTACTTATCTGAATGGTTAAAAAAAAAAAAAAAAAGTGTGCCCCTTGTAGCCACTTTGAAAAGCACCCAGGAGCTGAGGCAACCAACACACCATCTTGCCTCCTAATGAGCCCAGTAACTGTCAAGCCTAATTGCTTTGTGGCGGGGCGGGGAGGGGGCACAAAGAGCAGCCTCAGGAGCCACCCTACAGTTAGAAGCCACACTCTCTCAGTGCTCCGAAGTAGAAAGCTGGGGAGAGGACCCTCCCAGCCTGAAAACTGGGGGTGGCAACAGTGATCGCTTAGCCCCTGCTTGCAAACCTCACCTGCTACCCTACAGCCTTCGCCATTTGCACTAGCAGGAACCTCACTCCCATGAAACAGCATGATTGGACCCCCAGCCCTATAGCCCTCCACAACTGAGGCTAGGAGAACCACAACGGGCAGCCCAGAGCCTTACTGTAATGCACGGCTGTACGTCCTTGCTTTAAAAAAAAAAGAGAGAGAGAGATTCTTACCCCGTGTTTGGTGAGAAGGATGAATCAAAGGTCAGCTTCAGTCCACGTGCAAGCTGAACGGAAAAGAAATTTGCCAGGTTTAGTCAAAAGGCAGGGAAACAGATGTCAATGAATAAAACTGTGTCTCTTCCCGGGTGACCATTACCTGATCTTCCACAGTGATCTCTGTGCCTAGTGTGTTGTCAGTGTTCCATTTCTCTGTAAACGTCAGACCATATTCGGTCCATCTGTACTTGGTTTCCAGACTGCCCGTCACTTTGGTGGTCTCAGTGTTGGCTGAACCTGAGCTTGTAAATTCCTTTAAAGGAGAGAGAGAGTCACAGCCTGTATGCCAGCAGGACGCCACCCTGAACAGAACGTACGTCCACTTATGTAAGGATGTGTGGGGGCAAAAGCTATTCCTGTAATTCTAGTCAATATTTAAATACAGATGAGGCTAAAGAAGTCTGTTGATTAAAGGACTCTTGGGGAATTCTTTGTCAGGAGACAGCTTCCTTCCTCCCTGGTAATGCTTTAGTCTAGAAAGGAAGGCAATCCCCCTTCCATCCTATTAGAGAGAAAAAGCACTGAGCTAAAGATGACACTGCAGTAAATTAGCCCCAAAACTTCCTCCTTCCCAACAATTGCCACACGCACAATCTATAAGGGACTACTAAAGGGGCGCCTGGGTGGCTCAGTCAGTTAAGCATCCGTCTCTTGGTTTTGGCTCAGGTCATGATCTCAAGGTTGTGAGATAGAGCCCCACCATCTTTGGGCTCTGCTCTCAGTGGGAGTCTGCTTGAGATTCTCTTCCTCACCCTCTGTCCCTCCCCAGCTTGTGCATGCACTCTCTCTCTCTAAAACAAATAAATAAATCTTTAAAAAAAAAAAAAAAAAAGGAACTACTAAGATTTTTTTAAATAATTATGTGGCATTGAAAACAGGTCAATTTTTTTTATTAAAGATTTTTATTTATTTACTTGAGAAAAAGAGAGAGAGCATGCACAAGTGGGGGGAGGGGCAGAGGGAGAAGCAGGCGATACAGGGCTCGATCCCAGGACCCTGGGATGATGACCTGAGCTGAAGTTAGACGCTTAACTGAGCCACCAAGGCGCCCCGAAAACAAGTCAGTTTTAAAATAAGAAACAAGGAAAAATAAAACTGAGGCCTGCCAGTTGAGTATTAAAAGCTGTTAAATTGGGGACCTGTCAGCTGGGTTCCCCTGGACCACCCATCCCATAGAGGATGCAATGAATGTGACAACCACAGCTCTCCATAACGAAAAAGGGCCTTTCATCTGGCTTTGCCACCCAGGACATGGCAGCTATTTACTGATCTACAATAAACACCCATACTCCATGTCGGTCAGACAACTTACCAGTCCATTCTCAGATTTTGTTTTCAAGTCAAGTTTTATTAAGCCAAATCCTAAACAAAGAAGATGGTAACTATTAATAGGTGAAATAACTAACTTGAGAGTAGCATCTCTGCCTCCCTTCTGCTGTTCCAAAATGCCATGAGTGTGTAGGGAGCCCGTTTCCGCAGCTGCCTGCCTACATGTGGAGCTCAGGTGCCACCAAACGGTAGCAGAAAGAAAAGGCACAGCAACCTCCAGGGCCCCACCTGCACTCCCAGCAGAATGTGAGAAAAAGGTACACGACACATGAGCACGTGCCTAAGAATGCGCTACGTTGAGACATCATACTCTACCACAACGGCCCACACAGAGCTGCTCCCGCCCGTGGGAGAGAAAATCAAAATGTCCGCTTGTCTAGAGTAATTCACGAGCCTGCCCCTACCGGGTGCACAAACCAAAACTACTTTACTAGCCATAGAAAGCTTGTCTTATTTTCCCTAACATGAAAGTTCTAAGAGCTGACTGACCCGCGTCTCTCAAAATGTGATGGGTCAAATCCCAAACATGCCAACCCAGCCTGTGAACTGAAACACTCACCATAACCCTTGGTGAAGACATCCCTGGCAGATTTGCCAAGATCAGCATACGTGGGAGGCACAGCCATCTTCTGCTACAATAAAAGAATCACCAGAAGAAATACATCAGTCATTAGGGAAATTAGTTTTCCATCAATAAAAATTATTAGCTATAATTAACAACCAATAAAAACCATCGGCGCAGAGTTCCAGGTGTGCACAGGGAAGCCTTACTACCTCGTGCTTCTCCTTGTATCCAGAGGTTGACATACCTAATAAGTTTTTGCTGATAGCCGATCAGCCTGCCTTTAGATCTCTTCTCCTTGGCATCCCCAGGACCGAGTACAAGCTCAGAATATAGCAAGAATCAGTTAATATTTGCTGAACGAATTGTCAAAGACACATTCCCATGAGCCAACTACTTAGTGAACTGCAAGACTCTTGCCAATAAAACATATCTTCTTACAAAATGTCGGCTGCTATGACATTAAATGCACTGAAGAGATATCAGAGCTTTTTCAGGCCAAACTATTTTCCATACGGTTCTGATTTCATTCATTCAACAAAATATTTACAGAGTACCTACTATGTGCCAAAATGAATGTAACTTTTCAAAAAAACTTTGCATTTCAGGGGAACACATTTTTTGAGTATCATATTCCTCACAGAGACTAGAGTAAAACCAAACAATTAGGCAACTCTTCACCTGGAAGGAAACGAAACTACACACACCCCTGAAAATTTAATGTAAACAAACATTTGTTGAGCTGCAATGGGACTTTATTTTTAAAACCAACTATCAGAGAGGCGCCTGGGTGGCTCAGTCTGTTGAGCATCTGCCTTTGGCTCAGGTCATGGTCCCAGGGTCCTGGGATCAAATCCCACATTGGGCCCCTTGCTGAGCAGGGAGGCTGCTTCTCCCTCTGCCCCTCCCCCTGCTCATGCTTTCTCTCTCTCTCTCAAATAAGTAAATAAAATATTTTAGGGGCACCTGGGTGACTCAGTTGGTTAAGCGCCTGCCTTCAGCTCAGGTCATGATCCCAGGGTCCTGGGATCGAGCCCCACATCGGGCTTCCTGCTCAGCGGGAAGCCTGCTTCTCCCTCTCCCACTCCCCCTGCTTGTGTTCCTTCTCTCGCTGTCTCTCTCTGTCAAATAAATAAAATCTTTAAAAAAATAAAATTAAATAAATAAATAAACAAACAAAACCATCAGGGGCACCTGGTGGCTCGGTTGAGCGCCCAACTCTTGATCTTGGCTCAGGCCATGATCTCAAGGTCGTGAGATGGAGCTCTATGTTCAGCACGGAGTCTGCTTCTCTCCCTCTCCCTCAGCCCCTCCCCCTCCCCCTGCTCTCCTGTGCTCTTTTCTCTTTATAAAATAAATAAATAAATCTTTAAAACCAACTATCAAAGTACTACTTGAAATTGTTGCATATCACTAAGTCAATCAACAAGCATTTGTTAAACACCTCAGTGTTCAAGGAAGGTGAGTAATTCAAATAGTCCTTGCCCTAAGGCTTTGCTTTGACGTATTACAACACAGAATTAAAATCCTAATCCAGGGCAGCACACACAGTGTGCTCCATCCAGGAGGAGAGAAGCCATGACAAAACAACTATCGCCTACATCTTCTCCATTTCCAGAATCATTAGCTTCAATTAGCAGAAATTCAATAAACCCACAGATGGTTCCATTAATTTTTAAAATACAGTTATACCGGGGCACCTGGGTGGCTCAGTCATTAAGCGTCTGCCTTCGGCTCAGGTCATGATCCCAGGGTCCTGGGATGGAGCCCAGCATCGGGCTCCCTGCTCCGCAGGAAGCCTGCTTCTCCCTCTCCCACTCCCCCTGCTTGTGTTCCCTCTCTCGCTGTGTCTCTGTCAAATAAATAAAATCTTTAGAAATAAAACAAAATACAGTTATACCTAAATTGCCAAACTGAATCTGCATATACCCCATCTGAAGTCACATATGTATGTATTCACACAAATAAACACCTGCATGGCATGTTCCCGGTAAGTAGAACCCAATGAAAAGTGGTTCAAGTGACCCCAGGGGGACAGTATCCCAAATGGAAGCCGCACTGCTGACCTAACCTTCCAAGACACTGCAAGAAGCCCACAGAAGCAATGAGTACACTAGAAAATAAACAACTGGGGTGCCTGGGTGGCTCAGTTGGTTAAGCATCTGCCTTCGGCTCAGGTCATGATCCCAGGGTCCTGGGATTGAGTCCCACATCGGGCTCCCTGCTCTTTGGGAAGCCTGCTTCTCCCTCTCCCGCTCCCCCTGCTTGTGTTCCCTCTCTCGCTGTGTCTCTCTCTGTCAAATAAATAATAATAAAATCTTTAAAAAGAAAGAAAGAAAATAAACAACTCTAAACTTCCACCATTTTAAATTATAAAATTGTGGTCCAAGTCCTATTTTACTTTTTGCAGAGGTTTTGCTAATTCTGCCTCAGCGCACTTTTGTGTCAGCGCAGAGCGGAGAGAAGCAGCCAGTGAGCTGTTGACGCTATCCTATTTTTGTTGCTCTTGTTATTTCTTGCACATGATCAAGCCAGAACCAAGGATAGCTCAGTCCGCATTAGGGTCAGGGCACGAAGAACATGGGGAAAGATTCACTTTAGGCTGTCCCCATTGGCTGTTTCAGGTCTGGGGACTCCCCTCTCCTGACCTGTTCCCCTCCCACCCCAAACAAACCTCACAGACACACCCACCCCGGGGACAGACCAGGAAGCCATCCACCAGGTCCTCCAGAACAGAATACCACCAGCCTAAGGCATATGTTCTGGCCGCAGACGGCCTGGTACCTCCCAGGAGAAGCAACTGACACAACTCTGTGTCAAAGGCTGAGCTAATGCAGTCCTGAGGAAATCTGCACAACATCTCAGCGAAGGGCCCACAACATTCTCCACCCCAAGCAATGCTAACAGGAATCGGTGAACTGAGCACCCCTCTTCAGTGCTGCCCTTCCCCAGCTGGCCACAAATTCAGCCCCAGGGTGAGGGGAAGAGCAGCACGATGGCAGTATCTCCCGGTGAGCTAAGACCTCCCTGTACCTCAGGCACCAGGGCCTTTCCCAAGCACCCTCTGCTGGCTCTAGGGCCCACCTCACCAGACAGGAGCAGCTTTCATATCTGGGCTGGTCTGTCCCTCAGGAAAAAGGCAGATCACTCATCATTTAATGCTCCCCCAAATACCCTCGCTCATCACTAAGCCCCAAAACCGAACAAGCAAAACCACCTGTCAAAAAAACAAAAACAAAAACCAACACACTCCACTGCCAGCAAACGTCACCCTAAAGTACCTGGCCATTCAAGAGATTACCATCTAAGGACAAGGGAATTGGGCCCGCAGAGGGAGCTTGGATAAGGCCAGGTTCTCCGTGTGGCTCCCGCTCAGCACCCCGCAGGGAAGATGCACAACCACCACCCGATGAGTGGGGAGCCAAACCCACTCCTGGACCTGAGGAAACCCCCACCAAGGAAGGCAAGAGGATGACTGCCCCTTCACTAAAGGCCCCCAAATGCTGTGCAAATGTAGCTTCCCCCCTGCTTTTGGTGCAGTCTTCTGCTCTCCCCACCCAGTCTCCTTCTGCATTTTTTTTAAGATTGATTGATTGATTGATTGATTGATTTGACAGAGAGAGACACAGCGAGAGAGGGAACACAAGCAGGGGGAGTGGGAGAGGGAGAAGCAGGCTTCCTGCGGAGCAGGGAGCCCAATGCAGGGCTCGATCCCAGGACCCTGGGATCATGACCTGAGCCGAAGGCAGACGCTTAATGACTGAGCCACCCAGGAGCCCCTCCTTCTGCATTTATCTGAGAATTGAGGCAAGGCCCGAGGCAATCTGTCTCTGAGCTCAGCTTTCTTACAACTGCCAACAGCACCCAGGAAATGCCCATTTTTACACAGTTCTCAGCATCCACTGCAAAAACAATTTTAGTGTAGAAATAAAGATTCCCATTCATGGTTTCTCTGGCCGGGACCAGAGGGAAGAGAGCTTGGCATCCTGCTTTCTCACGTAACCTCCTGCCTGTGCTGAGGCTGAACGCTGGCCCCAACCCCTACCTCCACCCAGATCAGCTCCAAATCGCTCACCATCTGTCTCTGCGGCATCCACCCCATGTGCCTTCAGAAGCCCGGCCTCCAGAGGCTGAGCACAAAGCGGGGCACTCTGATATAGGAAGGCAGGCAGCCAGGCCTGGACAGATGGGAATCAGAAGGCTGCCTGGGAAAGGCAGGAACCCATTTGTCTTCAAGGCAGAGCCTGGCAGCCTGGTTCCGGAGGATACATGGGACACAAGGGATGGACAGGACTGGGCTGAGCAGACCCGCCCCCAGTCACTGATGACTTTGAGAAAGCCAGTAAGTCACGGTAGGAGACAGGAGTCCGTGGTATCCCTCCACAGCCTGCTAGCCTACCTACCCACCCATACCCTGGCTGACCTTGAACCCTGGCTTGATTATGCAAGCTCCATTCCAGCTGAGGAATGAAAATCCAGCCCATACTGGGAGCTCGAAGGGTGGAGATAGTATATCGCCCAGCGTGGCCTGCATAACACTTATGTAACCTCCGCCTTGGGGAGACTCATCAGTAGCCTGGTAGTGACAGCGGCTCTGCTTCCAGCGCCCCCACCACTCCCCCAGTGCACACCTACCCCCAAATCACACCCTTGAACTCAAAGCATCCCAGAGCCTGTCATGCCTAAATTTATCCAAAATATGTAAAAAGCTGACAGATGACAAGCCCTGGCACGTAGCAGATATTCAATATAAATGTCTGTTTAATGAGTAATGTGCAAGGAGCATGAAAGTATTTTTACAGTAGGAGGAAAAAAAATAGAAACTTAGTATCTGACAAGAGGGTTTAAGTAAATGACAATGTAGCCAGGCAGTAGGCTCTCGCTTCGCAGGAAAGTTGCAGCCCGACCAGGGATTGGGGGTGGAGACACCCACAACCAGCACCCTCCACCCCCACCATGGCCTAAGGAGAGCTCAGTTCCGGCTGAGGAGACCCAAGTGCCTTCAGAAGTGATGACTGCCACTTCTGACTTCAGAACAAGGCGTGGACTTTATTCTAAGGGCCTCAGGGA